TATTGTAAGGTACTCATGATCTTCAGGAATTCACATTAATTAATATCACATCAAATTCTGCTTGTCTTCAGTTTCAGTATGTCAGTAGCAGTACACCTTATATTGATATAATTCTGCTTGCTGATGATGTTGGCTATATTATTGATGGTTTCAATGTATTTCCTAATGATCAGTTGAACTTTATTCAATGTATTACTAACATACCAGCTGGTAATAACTTAACACTGTATGCATGTGAATGGGCAACCATATGGATCTGTATATCTAATCCTCCTGCTGTAATAACTGGTATTAATATTACTAATGACTTCACATCTTCAGCTCTAATGTCATCAGTTCATTTATCATCAGTATCACTCACATCAACAGTATTGACTACTCCATCAATGATGTCTGTACCATTGATAATATCTACTTCACCAGTAGTAACTATTTCATCAGTTTCAACTACTTCATCATCTAATTCAATTATTTCATCAATGACGTCCTTACTAACAAAAATCCCTACTTTAGTTGTACCAACTCCATCAATAATATCTGAATTTGAAACATATCCTTCATCAGTGCGAACTATTTCAACTACTTCAACAGTACAACAAGTTACAAGTAGCTCCATCATAAGCAGTACTACAGATACTCCTACCATCAGTAGTTCTACTTCTATTCCTACCACTAGATTAACTAGTACATTAGTGACAGGTACAGTGTATGTTCATTTGTGTAGTTATAATCTACTTTATTATATACATAGGTACTTCAACTGTTAGACCCCCATTAATTCTAGTACCTTCTTCCCTAACTTCTTCATCCATTACTCTTTCACCCCTATCTTCCTTATCCCCAACTTCTTCATTTTCATCACTATCTTCTTCATCCATTACTTTACAAACTTCTTCATCCATGTCTTCTTCATCATCAATTATTGGACTCGCTTCTGGGATATCAATTCCACTGCTAATTATAATAATTGGTATGTACATTATAATCAAATGTTGTCATTAATATGTACATTGTAGTTGTTATAGTAATTGTAGTGGTAGCAGCAACAGTTCGATTTAAAAAGAGAAGAGGAAGAATGAAAGTGATTAATGATGTTACATTACTGAAGAGGAATGAAAATAATAATCAAAGTACTCTAATTTATTTATTCATTTATAAACAAGGTTTATTTACAGGTTCACAAGAGCAAGAACTATCATCAGTTAATCCACAGTATGAGAATGTACATGCACCAGTTCCACAGTCAGAGGGAGACTATGAACTACCAGTAAAAGAATGTGCTGCTTATGGTGTAGTAGAGAGTGCTGGATTCCCACAGTATGAGACTGTAACATTAACAGTTCCTCAGTCGGAACTATCAATGGAAGAGTGTGCTGCTTATGGTGTAG